ATGATTTATATCTTCCCATACATGTTATATCAATTTGATCTATTGAACGAGTAGAATTTTATAAAATTGATTCGGATGCGACATTTGGGGGTATGTTTTCGCTGTGCTAAAAAATTTTTATGATTTCTCAAAATTTGGTGTTGCATATCTGTGATAGAGTGAAAGATAGACATCTCACACGGGAAATATCTGCTCCATAAATGATAGACTCCAAATACCAGGCCTGAAAAATTGTCGACCACTTGGTTATGACATAGTTCATAAATTTTATGACCATAAAATTTGGAGAAAAGTCCTTGCTCCATGGAAGAGTTAATGTAGCATGGGAGATTGTACATGAAACCTACTCTAATACTGAAAATTCTTCATAATTATTTGACGTTGACACAAGAGTACATGATTTATCACAAAGAGAATGGAGTATTACACAACATTTTAACACTCTCACAGGCAGTTGGCTATAATTAAACATGTAAAAGATTTATTCCTGGAAATGCTTCGATGACTACCTTACATAGGAAGATTAATGAATAAAAAAGACAATCAAATTCTTATTTGGCCTCAATAAATACCAGTTGAAGTCAGGTGGGAATCATGAGAATTAAAACCCAATCATACCATTCGAGAGGTTTTTGCAGAAGCTCAAACGGAGGAGAGCAGAAAAAAGTTGATGATGACAGACAACTATACCACATCATCTATTAAAGGGTCAACTACGTATACTCACAATTCCTCTCAAAATAATATGTCTAAAAAAGGACAATCATGGTGGAGTCATTGTAAGAAACTTCATCATCCGAAGGAAAAATATTAGAAATTACATGCCAAACTTGCAGATTGGAAGTCATCTAATGGAAGATATGATAGGGAGAATTCAGAAAATGTTTCAGTCACTACCAACAACAATAAGTAATTGAGTATATACACCAAGGAGAAAATTGAGGCACAGCTAAAAATTTTTTATCATCGTTTCAATCTAGATAAGTACCACAATCCTTTATCGAGCAACCTACCAACATGTTAGCACACCAAGATAACTTATCTCATGCTTTAATTGTCCAAAGCAATAAACCAAAACCATGGATAGTTGTCTCTGAAACTTCAAATCATATGATAAGGGATAACAATGTCTTCAAAAATTAAAACTCATGCACCAATTACTCTGCAGTCAAAATAGCTAATGATTCATTCACATTAGTAGCAGGAACTGGATCAGTGGAATTAACAAACGATCTTCACATTAACTATATTCTTCATGTTCTAAAATTTGACTACAAATCTACTTTCAATCAAAAAACTTACTCGTGATACAAAAATGTGTGACTAGTAATCCAACCTTTGAAATATTTAAATAGTGGATTCAAAGAAGGTGATTCATAGTGTTGAGATCTATGGTGATATATATTTTCTCAAAAAAAAATCTAATAGTACATTCATCAAATTGTATTTCTGAGTTTAGTTCAAGTTCTATCTAGTTTACAATTTTAAGTTCATTTTATTTGAAAGTCAAGTCATGCTAAGTCATTGTCAAATTAATCAGCCAAATTTTGCATACATTGAAAACATATTTTCACATTTGCTTATTAATAAAAAAGTCTAATTTCTATCAATGTAAAATTTATCACCTTGCAAAACATACTATGTATGTATATTCTAAACTAAAATATAAGCCTTTACGTTCTTTTTATGTAATTCACAGTGAAATCTAGAAACCCTTATCAAAAATATAAATAGGGTATAAATATGTGTATCATTCACAAATGATCATACAAGAACAACATGAGTATTCCTTGTGAAAAAAAAAAAATTCGAAATATTCAACATATTTTAATCCTTTCATTCTATGATCTACACTCAATTCCAAAGTAAAATTCAAGTTTCTAAAATGGATAATGCTAGAAATTATTTAATTTCATTTTTTTGTCTTTTAACTTTCCAAACATGGTATTATTCAAAAATTTTTTTATGTAAATACTCCTTAACAAAATGGATCATTGAAAGGAAGAGTAGACATTTACCTGAGATGGTCTGGCCATTATATTCTTTAATTATGTGCATAAATACTTTGGTGAGGAAGATATACTCCAAGCCATATATCTCATCAATAGGATATGAGTCGAGTCCTTAAATTTCAAATTCCTCATAATGTTGTCATCAACTCCAATTTACATATCCACTCTTTTTCTTCGAACTTACCATTGAAAATTTTTCATTACTCTGTATTTACTCACATCCACTAACAGCACCAAACTAAACTTGACCCCAAGTCTCTAAGATGCACATCTTCCTCAAATGCTCCTCTGATCGAAGAGGATATAAATGTTACTCTCCAATTACTAAAAGAATATACAACTACAAGGATGTCACCTTCTTTGAGAATCATTCTTACCTTCTTAAATCCAAAATTCAAGTGAAGAACTCCAGGGAATACCATCTTTGAGACCTTCTCAAAGTTACTCGGGTCATTTTTCTTCAAATAAATCAAATCCTGCAACTCAATTAAATCCTATCACTCAACTAGCTCCACTTGAAGAATCAAACTCTGCACTGAAACAACCTCAATTGTCTCTACTTCACCTCAACTTGACAGAACTGATTAGAAATTTTATGCCAAGACTGTTAAACATGTAAAGGACACTATGCAGACTCGAGAATGTCAAAAACGGGAAGTGAATTCTCCAGCACATTTGATAATCATATAGATTCCGGGAAGTGAATTCTCCAGCACATTTGATAATCATAATGATATAGATTTTTTATCTCACGACTCTCTTGTATTGTTGGGTGATGACTCTAATCAACAAATTGCAAATAGAAAAAGTGACCGAAATTGGCTTGTCATTCGATCGAAAGATATGTAACTTATAGAAAGTGGCCACCATCTTAAAGAGCTTTAGTGACAAATCTTGATAGTGTGTAAGTTCCCAACATTATGTAAGAGGCTCTAAAGATTCCAGCATGGCAACAAGCATTTAAGAAAAAAATTCAGAATTTAGAAAAAAAAAAACACGTGAACAATTACAGAGTTAGTTTATGAAAAAATATTATAGGATGCAAATGGATATCACAATCAAATACAAAGGAGATGAATGTATGTATAGAGATATTCAAAACCATACTAGTAGCCAAGGGATTCACACATCACTTAAAGAAGGAAAAAAATAAAATATTGTCCCTAAGAATAGTGCAGAATCTAAATATCATACTTTAGAACTAAGAATATCTGAGGGAATGTGGCTTCAAATGCAATAATGAAAACTTAAGGTTGAGGAAAATAACATAATTATGATGTTCAATGACAGTTAAGCTATTATTAGTATTGCAAAAAAAACAAAGCTCCGTGAAAAAATAAAATACATCGAGATTGACCAACACTTCATCTCAGAAATGGCTAACAATGAAATTACTTGGTTAGTTATATTCCAATAAGACTTCAGATAGTTAATATTTTCATCAACGCACTACCAAGGTTTAGTCATAATAAACTGAACACCAAATTTGATTTGTGTAATATATACAACCTAGCTCGAAAGGGAGTGTAGGAAGTAACTGACATGTGTGCTCGATTAGGAAGGAAATTATTTTCATTACTCGGTTTATATTTTAATATTTGCCTTTTTCTTGAAATAGACATTGTCAATTTTTCTATTTTTGTAATTTGGTAGGATACCTAATTCAAAGGGATCAATACTGATTTCCTATTTTTGTGGACCGGTGTGTTGGCCACTTTCTTACATATAGTAGGGTGTAATTCATTATATGGGTTGACAAAAAAATTCTCAAAATTCTTCATTAAATATGTTAAAGCCAAATATCATGAGATTTCTAGGATAATGACGAATAAGAATCAAAATAAAAATGAATAGATGCATATATGTGATGGACTAACAAAATATGATAAAGACATTTAACTATTGTATTTAATTCTGGCAATCTTTTCACTGATATCTTATGAAATTGCATTTTATGATCAAGCATCAAATAGTATCCATTTAATAATACTGCCATACTAAGCTTGTTAAAATTATAAATGGATATGCTCACGTTTTAATAATACTGCCATACTAAGCTTGTTAAAATTAAAAATGGATATGCTCACGTTAATCACTGATCACTAAACATATCATTTATTTTTTTATATTTTTAAATCTTAATTTAACATTACTTTGTCTCATTGTGCGTAGAGATCACAACATATTATAATTATGATTTTTAGGGAAGGGAATGGAGAAAGTAGATCGGTACTTAGGTGACAAATCTAATTTTATAACTTTTTATACAACTATGGAAACTTATATAAGACAATTGTATTTGGCATAAATAATTACTTTTGGACCGTATTTAACTTTGATTTATTTACAAGTTTATTTTTTTATATGAGGATTAGTTTATACACGAATCCATTTTAGCTATATCATTAGCATGAAAAATGACCTTACTTCAAGTTAACCTACTGCAAAAAAAGGTTATTTTTCTTGGCCATTGGACACCGAAATCCTACCTAACATCAATGTATATGAATGAGAGTTTGTTAGCGCAATTAGGCATCTATTGGGACATAGATTTTGTTCAAAATTTGATAGACTTGAAAAATAATGTAGTCATTATACTAAATTATACAAATCAACATATACTTTATGAATATATTATATAAATAAAATGACCAGGATGCCGCCGGAGAAGCCCCGAGAGATATAGATCTCATTAAACACTCAGTTAATCATATCCATCCAATTTGAATCAGCAAGTATTTCTTAAAATTTGGAATCCAGAAAATAAAATGATCCTAGGTTCATGGATCTTACCGATGGTCATAAGGCCTCTCCTAAATTTTACCTAAAAATTACAAAAAAAAAAAGAAACTTCAAAATCAGTTTTTTTCACTTAGGCAGCATTTCTAAAGGTATGGGGCAAATCCAAAACAAAATTGAATGTATGTGTCATAGGAACAGTTGATGCTGATGCTACATATTTGAATGAAAAGGTGCAATATATCAGACCTGCATTTTATATATTTTCTCTTCAACAGTTCCACAGGTCATCAACCTATAAACAAGCACATCTCTTTCTTGCCCAATTCGATAAGCACGATCCACACTTTGGTTGTCAGTGCTGTAGATAAATCAATAAGAAAATTATAAAATTAGAAAGTAGCTCAAGCCATTCAGAAAGAGGACAGCAAGTTCATCACAAATGCAATTAAATTAAAAAAAATAGAAGAATACAATTATTTCTACATGAATTATTTTAGCAATATTTCAATATTCAATAAGAGAGAAAAAAAACTTAATAAATTGAAATGAGAAGCTTAACAGCAGAATGACAGAATGCCAAATCTCATGGATTAGTGAAGCATTCATCCATCCAAATCTTATCATCGTTAGGGTAATGAGACTAATTGAAAACCTTGAACAAAAGAGGAACAGATTTTCAGAAACTTTAATGCAGCAATATATCCACCCAAGATATGTTGAAAAAAAGTTGTCAAGTATTGAGGCTCTTCAGATCAAGAAAGCACAGCATGCATTCTCAAATTAGGTATCGAAAAGTTTTTCCCCACAGAAAAAATTATCAGCTCAAAGTCCAGAATTTATAATTGATTGTTTTATGGACAGATTACAGTCAATCAAAATAGCATTCTGTATGATATAAATACATATATTTAAGAAATGAAAATTGAAATCTAACTTGAATTGAAATATGTGAATACTATCAATTGCAAGAAAGAAGTCTCCAAATATTTTTAAATTACCATCGGTACATCCTAAATAATAGAACTACCCTCTTACAACACATCAAAACTGTTTAATTCAACAAAGGAAATATAAAATAAGCAAGGTCTGGTGAAAGAAAAAAATGACAAAAGGTTCCTTAATTTTTAAATCTGAAGTTATTTGAAAATATTGATGGTTGGCATTAGACTTGCAAAGAATAAAAACATAACAAATTGTGCATGTTAAATGGTAAGTTGGACTTGTATGAGACTGAACATGGGTCACCTTGGATTCCATGCCGGATCAACCACAATGACACGATCTGCTTTGGTAAGAGTTAAGCCGAGTCCTCCGACTTGTGAAGTTAACAAAAATATAGGCGCCCCACAGCCCTCTTGAAAATCCTGTGCTAGTGGCAAAGTTGACTTTCTAGGACAGCAAACAAATGAAAAAATCAATCTATTTATAAGCATGAACAATGGACCTTAACAATCTTCTCTCTATCAGAAATTTTGGTCGTTCCATCAATTCGTAAGAAGTTGTATCCCTTGGAAAAAATGGCCTCCTGCAAAGTTGAAACAAATAAAAATGATGTATTTAGAATTCCTACTATGAAGCCTAGTGCCACTGTCATAAGAATTCAACTCATATCAACACATGAAACAAAATATTCCCAAAGATAAGGTTGCTAGAAACATTTCCAACAAGCGCAAAAAGGATCATTTCAAGAATAATGTTCCTAATACAGTGATTGAGTTAATATCAGTACAATTAAGTGACCACACATCATAACACTACAAACAGTAACCAAAAGCTTAATTGACGCAATAAAAAAATTCCTTAAAGTGAAATAAATGAGCCATCAAAAGCCAAAAACAGCAGCAAAAACATATTCAAAGCCTTTCTCAAAATTATACCCCATTTTTTGCACATCCTAAAGGTTGACAAAAACTATTTTTATAAAATTCCGCAATTGATCTCCATTATTTTATTACCTAAATATATATATATATAATTAATATATTAGCTTTTATTAATAAATTCTTAATAAAATTATTTTTCCTAAAATTTTTATTTAAATTAATGTTTATTTATTTAAATGTTACAGTAGCTTTCCCAAACCCGCGAATGCAAAGTTTAAGCCATTTAGATGGCTAGGATGAATTATTATAATTGCATGTAAATTGTTAATTGATACTAATACTTATTCACATGAGCCTAATCCGATTTTTATCCCAATTCTCCTTATCCCTTCACAGCACCGTAGCTGAATATAAGGAGGAATGGAGCGGCTCTCGGTCAAGAATAGAGAAGAAATAAATTAGACAGCTAGAGCAACTCTGGACCAAGGGAGAAGAAGAGGAAACAAAAGAGAGAGAATTGGACGATGTGAAGCGTGAAGTTTTCACTGATTATCAGAGTCTAAAATACATTTTCACATAAAAAAAAATGGAATTTGAGACACAAGAGATGGCCAGAAATTATTAAGAATTGTGATCTGGACAAATAGTATTATCCTGGTCGAGCAAAGTAATTCTTCATACTTTGAGCTGTAAATCCCCATGTAGTTTAAGTTGGATTATTTCTGAAGAAGTGAAATTGGTTAAAAAAATTGATGTCTTGCAGAAGTCAAAAGACCAAGTGATATAATATATTTATATCAATTAACGGTGCAGTCAACTCTAATAGATAGAATCAAGGCAACATAGAACGTTAGCAGTGAATATCTGAAACTCCTAGAGCAACTTCAATCAAGAAAGAGGTTGGATATGCCTATTGATGAATATGATATTATCGGAACCAAGTTGGAGTTTTGGATACATTTTGATTCTAATTTGAGACAGGAAACTATACATGAATCTCATCATTCAGAGTACACAATTCATTCAGGCAGCACCAAAATATACAAAGATTTGAAGTTAATATTTCGATGGCCATGAATGAAGAAAGATATTGTTGAATGTATCAAAATGCCCGACTTATTAGATTTTCAAGGTCGAGCACTGTTGACCTCATTTTTGAGGTCATTTCTTTTTTTCTTAGGGTCTTGGGATCTAACTCTAGGAGTTCCTATTGACCATCTTAGAAAACTAGAATTAGGACCCACCCTTTTAGAAAGTCTAACCACTTCTTATTTTCGTTTGATGTCTAGCATTTTTTGCACAAGACCATCGTTTTACGAACGAGCGATTATGGACTATTTTGTGAAGACTCAAGGAAAAAATTCTTAATAGAACTTTAAGCTTTTCTTGAGGGAGAGGTGCTGCCATTTTATTTGTTTTTATCTTGTATGCTGCAATTTTTTTTCTGGAATCTTGTTTTCTCTTGAGAAAATTCTAAAAGGAGAGGAATGGATTTTAATTGAACCTAAAAGATGGGTGAAAATGTGAACTTCTCCAGATGACCTCCGACGACAAAATGGACTGCGTCAACTCGTCCGGGATACTAATTTTGGTAGGAAAGGACACACATATTGTCATATTTTTGACACGAGAAAATTGGCATGCAAATCGATGAATTCGTCAAAACGACTTCCGGTGGCAAAACGGATCGCGTCAATGCGTCCGGAGCGTCAAAATTACCTAAAAGGAACATTCATTTTGTTGTATTGTGACGCACGAACAAAAAGGGTACTAATCAAATTTTATGTTAAGAAATATCAAATATTTTATATATTTATCATTTATAATATCAGGATTTATAACCCTAAGTCATTTTCTACCTTTACCCACACACGACATTCCTCTGCCTCGACCGAGAGCCGCTCGGGCGGAGCCCTAGCTTCCGCACGCGTCTCCTCTCCCGCGATCGGCCGCACTCGAGCCTGACGATCGAACCCTCGTCCGCCTCGTCTCCTACATCTCTTCCCTCACACGCTGCATTCCACTGCTGTTCGCGCACGCGGCTCGCCTCCTCGAGCTCCACTCGACTGAGCAGTTCTCCAACTGCGAAGTTCCACCTGGCCGACTCTTCCTCTGCCCTAGGCTGCATTTCCTCTTGCCTTAAATCTTTCTCATCCTCTCCCTTTACATGATTTCCTGACCAAGGAGGCTGGTAGGTGGCTTCTTTGCTCCTTTCTCTGCTATAAAAACCCCACTTTGGGGGAGGGTCTAAGGTTGGCCGAAATTTTCTTGAGGGAGAGGTGCTACCATTTTATTTGTTTGCTGGAATTTTTTCTGGAATCCTGTTTTCTCTTGAGAAAAGTCTGAAATGAGAGGAGTGGCTTTTGTGCTGTTGTGAGGCTGGTTCTTTTTTCTTTGCTGTCCGAGAGACTATTTTCTTTCTTCTTTACTGTGGGAAGTTTTGGGGGAGAAAGCTCTACTAACATCTTATCTAAAATTTGATTTTTGTGTGTTGGGGTGTGGAGCATCCGTTGGTGGCTGTTTCTCAAAGCTTTCAAGAAGAAAACTCTGTCGAAATTTCTGTTTGACTAGCTTCTGGTGTGCTGGAAGTTTAAAGGATTTGCCGGTTGCTATTTTTTTTGAAGTTTCTTTTTTAGAAGATCTCTTTGGGAGGCATTTCATTGGATCTTTCTTACATTTTCTTTTGCTTTAAGTCGGCATTAAGAGGTATTTTTCTTCCCTCCTCTATTTTACACTATTTCGGATGGCATCTAAAAACATCTCCATTCTCCAATAAAAAAGTATTTAGAAGTGAAGCTTAGGCTTATTTTGAAATTTAAGCATGGATACTCACTAGAAATGGTGAAAACAAAGAATGTGTGGGTTGTCTTTGTTCTTCTTGCTTGAGATATTTGGAAGTATCGTAATGGTGGCTTTGAGATGAGATTTGCCCCTCTTGAAATGCATGTTAGAATGGGTTATCAAACTCCTTTATTATTCATGTTAAAAAATGAATGATTAGCTCAAGCTCATCTGTTTCATGCTACCTATTACTGTTTGAAACATATGTTGGAAATTTTCTCTGTT